GTAGCATTGGCTAGGAGAGGAGAAGAGTTAACCAGGGGATATGTATAATCAAACAGGAACTATTGGTACTCTCTTTTATGCTTTGTTCTTTTTCCACATTCAATCAGTAAACAAATCAAAGTAATAAGGTCTCATTATCATTAGAGTTATTTGAAAATCATTTAATTCCTCATTTTTTCCACTAACGTCAGCTTTCAACAATATCACTTGGACTTCAGCTGACCCCACATAACGTTTTTTTTTAATTATATTTTTGGTCATGATCTTGTTTTCAGTTACCATAACTATTTGCTAATAATGATTCTCTAGTGTCCTTCAAATCACACAGACTCCTGACAGAAATAATAAACACATATTCATGGAGAGATTTTTAGTTGTTAATTGTATTTTAATTTCTTTATTAATTGACATTTTTTAAAAGAACAGTTTTAGATTTACAAAAAAAAAAAAATTGATCAGATAGAGTCTCATATACCCCCCTCCTCACACACAGTTTCTCTTATTATTAACATCTTACATTAGTGTGGTACATTTGTTACAGTTAATGAACCAATACTGATACTATATTATTGACTAAAGTCCCACAGTTTGATATTTGTTTAGTTTTTACCTAATCTCCTTTTTTTGTTCCAGCATACTAAGTTACATTTAGTTGTCATGTCTCCTTAGGCTCATTTTGGTGGTGACATTTTCTCAGACTTCCCTTGTTTTTAATGACCTTGACAATTTTGAGGAGTACATACATTAGAATGTCCTTCTAATGGAATTTGTCTGATGTTTTCTCATGATTAGACAGGGATTATGAGTTTTGAGGAGGAAGATCACTGAGGTCAAGTGCCATTTTGATCACATCATATCAAGGGTACATACCATCAATGATATACGACTGTTGATGTTGACTTTGATGACTTATCTGAGGTAGTGTTGGTCAGGTTTCTCCACTGTAAAGTTACTCTCTCTTCTCCCACTTCCCATCCTATACTATTTGGAAAGAAGTAACTATGCAGACTATATTTAAGGAGTGGAGAGTTATGCTCTTGCTTTTCTGATTTTTAATCCTCAAAATAAGTTTGTGAGGAAGGCAGGGTAAGAATTACTATGCTTCCCCTTTCCTATCTTACACTTAGGAAAAAATATGAAGTTCAGGAAGGTTAAGTGACTTGCCTGGGTCATGACAACTAAGTGGAAGAATCGTGTTAGAAATTATGTGTGCTCTCCACTGCTGTTTCCAAGACTAAGATCTCTCTGCTAGCTGCTCCAATCATGAATCTCTTGCCTTTTCTCATTTTTCTACCTCTTTACATCGTGCCCATTTCTTAGTTATTGTAGTGTTTACTTTGTTACAGTTCAGAAACTTTTCTTTATTCTTTGACCATGGTCTTCCCTGCTTTCTTCTGTCTTAGATTTTTATCTTTATATGCAGTTAATTTTTTTTATCACTGATAGTTTTTCCAAAATGTGATGAAATCTCATTCATATTCTAAGGCAATAAGACATGGGTATTTGCAGTTTTTGTGCATATCCACATGGATCTTGAGTTTGTCCTGCTCCTTTCATAAGCTTAAATATCTCAAGAGCATTCTAACTAATCAATACTCAAACCATTTTAGAACATCTCTGTCCCTATCTCCATCTGAAATGATGGCAATATTCTTCAAAATGTTATGACCAGATACTTTTATACTTTTCCCCAAAGCAGGAAATTTTTCTTTTAAACCAAACACTCCTTGAGAGAAAGAAAAATATAGATAAGATAAAGCTAGAATAGGGACACAGCCTCTTTCAGAAAATTTGGGGGCTTTGGTCATTGAGAATCAGTTAACAATCTTCTCATGTGTTTATTGATTGTGTTCAACCCTTCTCCAATATAGTATTTTTTCTGGTTTAATGATAAAGCTAAGTGATATTTGGAGGCACGGATATATATTTACATTTCATGAGGGATCCAGCTTTTCTAAATGTTTCTGGGGTTGCCCGTGGGTCACAATTTGGGAACTTGAAGAAAATGTGGAGACATAGTAAATTCCATTTAATGTTTTTGTGCAGAATAGAGGGATGGAAAATATGCATATATTTTTTCGGACTCCTCCTTCAGTTTTAGCCTGCTTGATGCTAATCAGAGAAAACATTGTGCCTGTGTCTGTTTGTCCTCCTACAGCATGTGGATGCCATGAGCTTGTGGAGTAAGTGTGCGTGTATGGGGGTGTATTTATGTGACGTGCTTGGGAGGCAGAGAATATCAACCTCCCCAAATTAGTAACAGTCTATTGAGGGAAACAGAAATATATTTAAATCAGTAGATTTCAAGAAAGCCACGACCTAGTCTTGGCTTGCCCTCTGCTTTTCTCTGAGTCATTTTAACTTGAAAGTCATTTAATTTTCATTCCCTAATTTCAAGATAAGAACATAATACTAAATTCTTTCAATCGTTGTCTTTATGACATAAATAGTTGATTTATGTCACCATAACTCAAAAAGAATAAATACTGTTTTCACTGAATTGAGGAATGAGTAAAGTCCACACAGTTGCCTTGGGAAGATACTATTTTAGTGTGTATTGTAGTCAGTATGAAAAGTGCAAAGCTGAATGATTGGACCCCATTTTGTTCCTAAGACAGTAGGTTATAAGTCCTGGGTTGATTTTTGAAAAGACCTAAGGCATAAACAAAACATTAGGAAACCCCATCGGCATTTAACAATCCAGTGGATCACAATACATGCATTGTTACAGTAGCTTGTATTTGACATTAATTAAAAGGTGATGGCTAAAGGTTTTGCACTGCTAGAACTGTTCAGTACATTCATGGCTGCCTGATAATGATCCAGATACTTCCAGCTGATTGCATCTCACACTTGTGTTTGCTGTGTGCAACCAATAGTTTCTTGCCTGCCCTCCCATAAACAAGGGAGGTAGAACTCATTAGAAATTCCCATAACTTTTTAAAATCTAGTAGCCAAGATATCAGACTAGAATACACCATAATTCCATACACCATTCATTCTAATTGCTTGGCTATTTTGAGCTCTTACTGTATGAAATAGTAAATTTAGACATGGTTTAATTTATAAATAAATTGTATTTTGTGTCTCTCTATATATATATATGTGTGTGTGTGTGTGTAGATGTATATACCTATGTCTATATCTATCTACCTATCTTTCTACATATACATACACATACACACCCATGTGAAGTTCTTTATTACAAAAGTAATACATGTTCATTATAAAAAGAAAAACAAAACAATTCAAATAGAGATAAAACAGAATGTGTTATCCAGTCATCCAGAGATAACTATGTTCAACGTTCTGGTATATCCTTGTGTGAATGTATATGCATCTTTCTATCATCTCTCTGTATACATCTATCTTTCATAACGTAAAAAGCCATACATATAGTTTTGAGATCTTTTTCACTTATATAGTACATCTTTTCAGGTCACTAAATATATATCTCTATCATTGTCTTCAAGCAGATATTCTTTGATGAACTCCTCATTCAATTTATGAATCGTGGGCTCAGTCTGTCAATTCTGGGACTGACACAAGAATCAGGAAAACAGTAGCTGTTGAGTCGACTCCAAGTTACCATGACCTCGACTCAACGATGACCTCATGTGTGTCAGAGTAGAACCATGCTCCATAGGTTTTTCAGTAGCTAAGTTTTTGAAAATACATCACTAGGCCTTTCTTCTGAGGCACCACTGGGTGGGCTTAAACTGCCAACTTTTAGTTAGCAGCTGAGCATGTTATCTAGTTACACCACCCGGGGGACTCCAAGAACCAGGAAAGGTTTATCCAATTAAGAGTCAAGAGGCAGAATCATTGCATCTACGCAATAAAGGTGAAGAGGAAGGAAGGAGGTCCAGCCCAGAACATTCTTCCTTTTCGGAACGGCACCTCTTCCTCTCCTCCCAACCCCCACAACTCTTTTTATACAGACTGTGTAGAAGTTGCCCTAGCACTGTCATAAGTAATATTTTCACAGAGTGACTGATTCTCTCCAGGGGCGTATAGACAAAAGATGTTGCCTTCCTTAGAGTCATGGTGTTTGGTTTGAGTGGAAAAGGTTTGTTCAGGTTAGTGGCAAACTTGGAGAAATTTGACAGAGGCTGCAGTCAGTAGGTGGTGGCAGGAGCGGCAGTAAGATCAATGAGGGGAGGAGGTTGCTTATGCCTTAGCAGTATGAGGTTGATGACACCAACAGTTCTTCCAAAAGCCATTTCCCCAACCCTCTTTCTGGAATACTGGAATGTGGGGAATCTGGGATTCCAGCAGGAGTAATTTTTTTATTGCCCTTTTTTAACCTTTATTGGAAGATTATCTCAGAAGAAAACCATCAGGGCTTCGAACAGGTTTGTTCTGGTTCAAACCTCTGCTGAGAATTTACATTTCTACCCCAGATATACTGAATCAGAATCTACATTTTAACAAGATCCCCAGGGGATTCTTATGTATAATAAATTTTGAGAACCACTGCTCTACAGGAGCCCTGGTGGCACAGTGGTTAAGAGCTCGGCTGCTCAGAATTGGTTCCTAAACAGCAGCATTACCATGGCCTGGAAATTTGTTAGAAATGCAAACTAACAGCAGGGGTGCGGACCAGAAGGAATCTGTTGGAAGCCCTGAAAGCCACCTCCCACTTCCCACACTCCCTTTCAGCTGTTAGACTAAGCCATAGACGTTATATAAGCATAGGCAATTATGCTTATATAAGGCAATTATTGGATCCCTGGTAACACAGTAGTTAAGAGCTAGAGCTGCTAACCAAAAAGTCGGCAGTTCAAATCCACCAGCCGCTCTTTGGAAACCCTATTGGGGCAGTTCTATTCTGTCCTATAGGGTTGCTATGAGTCGGAATCGACTTGATGGCAATGGGTTTTTTTAATTTTTTTTAAGGCAATTATTAAATAATTTTGATCTGTTGTTGAAAATGTTAATGTACATATTATAAAAAGGAATATTACCTTTCTAATAAATTATACCTACTTCTCTTTCAGAAATAGATGACAAGAGGGTGACCAACACACAGGGGGAAGTAAGTTTTCTTATATTTTGAATAAATATGTGCTCAGTTCAAAACATAATTAGCTTTATTCAATGTGATGTATACTATGATATAAATATAACTGAGATGTAAAATATATTTACTTTGCTTTTCTTGACTGAACAAATAGTAAAATGAATGTCATTAAAATACTCCCTTTAAATTACCTTAATTCTCTAACTATGAAGTGCTAACAACCCCTGCCAAAACTTCTAAAAGGGCAGAAAACATTAGATATTTTAAGATGTTAATACAAATAATCTGCTTTCATAAATCTAAAATAAGGCTCTTTTTTCTTTTTGGAAGTTTTTTGAACAAAAATAAAGCATTACCTTTAGTGGCAAGATAGAGTATTAATGATTTCAATTTTGTGACTGATTGCGTATGATACCACAGGCCGGGGCCAAGCAATACTGGAATCCTGGAGCTAGAAGATGGAGGGAGGGAGTGGTAAGCACCTCTTAAAGGATCTTTTGGTGTGTGATGCCAACAGCAGACCCTGAGGGAAGAGTTTAGGGGAACTGAGATCTTCTAAAACTTGAGTAAAAGATGTAACAAATTCTCCAAGAAATGTACTGAAATTCCAATTCAGCAGCTAGTCTGAAAACTGCCCCTCCCCTCCTGCATACACATAGGAGTTCAGATAGAAAACAAGAATCAGGGGAGGCTAGGGGAGCTGATAATATAGAATACATAAAATATGAGGAAGTGAGCAAATGTGAGACAAAAAATGGAACAAATATTGACTAGGAGGCTGTGAGGACTCAATAGTCAATTCCTTTGCTGCATGAGTAGACATACAGCAGTACTTAAATAAAAAAATGTGGAAGGACAAAACACAAAATAGTATTTCATAAGGTTGTTCTAAAATAGTAAATTTGAAAACTAAACTCTTACCAAAATACAGAGTAGTATTTATTAGTTAATATTCCTAAACGAAAAACTTTCCTGTAGAATTAATTTTTCACTGTCTTTGTATATGTGTATAGCAATAAATATATTAGAAACACTGGCAGTGACTACCCCTTAAAGCCAACCAGATGTGACTGAATACAGCAGAGGTGCAAGAGTAATAGCAACCATCTACGTGGTTAACATTGTTGATGCAGAGCAGCCCTGTCTGCACCCGTGCATAACAGACTGGTATCAAAACATTCAATTCAAGAGAAAAATGGCTCATGCTATTTGCTTTTTTGATATGGATTTAGAAACTGGCTGAAATTTTAAATTTTTTTTTTACTTTTCAATAGTCACTATTGCGTCATGTAAAATATCATCATCTTGATGATACCTTTGAAGGCAATTAAGCTTTAGCATAGGAGTCCTTGGGTGGTGCAAATGATTAAGCGTTCAACGACTAGCTGAAAGGTTGGTGGTTCAAACCCACCCAGAGGCACCGTGGAAGACAGGCCTGGCGTTCTCCTTCCAAAAGGTCACAGCCTTGAAAATCCTATGGAGCAATTCTACTCTGTACACATAGGGTCACTGTGAGTCCAAATCGACTTGATAGCAACTAACAACAACAAGCTTTAGCATGTACAGGTAAAGATGCCTATTTTCAATTTTGTGACTGGCTTCTAGTTTCTTTCAGACTTTTTACCCTATGATATTTCCAATATGCATGGAAAGCCTAGAAAAATCTCTAATAAGTATCCTCTAACTAGGTACACTTTACTTTTCAGAGCAAAAATTATTGTCCCAGAATGCTAAAATTCGCTGATTGAAACCCTTACCCTTCCCACCTTGAAATATAAACCCACACACTATTAAAAGAAGTCTTGGTGGGGAGGGGTCTTTGAAGAACCCTCCAAAAGCTCCCAGGGGAAAAGCCAGCTCTAAAAAATAAAAATAAAAAAGGAATCTTTGTCACAATCTGATTTAGGGTATAAACCATAGGCTATATAGAATATTTATTATGCTAAACAGTATTGTATCTATTGTCTAATATATATAGTTTCATATCATCTGTAGTTTTGCCCCTGAAATATGTTTCTCCATTTTATCATTTTAAAATGCAAAATCCTTTCTTGGTTTCGTCTAGATCCGCTGTGCTTAGTCCAGAGTGTTAAATAGTGATTTTTGTTAGGAAAAGACTTATCTTTGGAACATAAGAAATAATATTATCCCAAAATTGTAATTCCAAGTAAATAATATTATATTGAACATGTCAACTCAAAAGGGTTGTAGATTGACATTACTTATCAAGGACTCTCTTTATTCCTCCAGATAATTCAACAAGTGAACGAGCATGTATTATTACCCCACGAACATAGCTTTTGGAGTATACTTTTTGCTGGCATTCATCTTTTTTTCTCATATGGAAAGGACTGAGGCCTCTTTTCCTCTCTCTCTTTTTTAAATAAACTAATGTTACTAGGTAAGAAAATAAAAGAGAGTAATTCCAAGACTGCAATGAAGAGTTTTATGATAATACAGACCCTACACCTTCATATATCTCTTGAGCCTGTGATATTGTTGAAGGAGTATATAACTTCTCATTGATTAGAATTCTATTATGTGACAAGGGGAAACTGGAACATGGCACTGTGTTTATTTTCCTCGCAGGTCTGGTGGCATTGTACTTTTTATCCAGATATAAGGCTTTTACTTTTTTCTTTTTGTCCACAGTCACAGAACGCATCCCCTAAGCAAAGGAAGCAGAGTGTGTACACACCACCCGCCATGAAAGGTACTGTTCAGGTACAGCCTCAGGTTGTCACGGGTGTGGAGTTCATGGCTCGTAGGTGATCTGTTCTCCAGATCTTGTGAGCTCTACAACTCAACAGTTGTGTGACATTTAGTAAGACGCTTTTTCCAATTAAATCTTAGTTTTATCAAGAGTAAAATTGGTGGTTGAAAAAGGGAAACTAGGGATGTCTCTGAAGCTCAGCCTGGAAATTCAGAGCTTCCAAAATGATAACAAAGATTTTTCTTTTACCCTTCCTCACATATATTTTCTTTGAAGGGATTTTTCTAGAAGCCTTAATTACTCTTTTTGGTATTGGCAGATGATTGTCATTTTCTTTTCTTTTTTGTCTTAAGCAAAACAGAGTAACTTGAATTTTGGAGAGATTTAATGTAAAGTATTGCCTCATTGCCTTGTGTTAAGAGAAGCTCTAAGAAACCCAATCAAGTAGCTATTATCTGTACATTTAACAGCTGTTGAAAAAACAACTAAGAATGCTAGTTCAGATTCTGGCATTTTCTCAGAATTTTTCCCCAAATTTGGAACTGCTAAAGGAACATCTAAGTGTGTTGGTATTTTGACCAACATCAGTTCCAGAGAAGGCTTCTTTTATTTCTCACACAAAAATGTTCCTGACATGAGTCAGAATCTGTCCAATCCAGTAGCTCATGTTCCAGTCTGGCGCTTGGGCCATTGGCCCAGCGGTTCATCATGCAGTAGTTCAACTCAGCTTCAACTGCAGGAGTGGCCAGCTGAGCAGCTTCCTCTGGAGTTTGGAGAGATGTCTAAATTGGGAGTGAAATTTTCCACTCTGTATTCTCTCTAGATTTTGGGGCCTTTTCAGAGAGGGGGTATATAAATGGATACATTAATACTTTAATCTTCCTTCCTGTGCAGCTATAAAACACCACGTTTGCTCACTCACAAGACTGCAGTAAATAATACAATCATCAGTATTGTAGTTCATTCCAGTTAAGTGAGACTATTAAGCATCCCTCTCTGAAGATAAATGTAATTATTTTCAAGATATTTCTCCCCATTGTAAATGATTTTGTACTTTCAAGACACATCAATTTGGGCATGATTGGGCATGAAAGATATATGTTCACTCATTTAATGATTTCCCATTCTATTTTTAGTTAGCTTAACTAAATAAAGTAATACTGTTTTCATGTCCTCAGAGAATAATAGTATTATTTTTAAAGGAAAAGTCTTAAAATCAAGGTCCCAAGGGCTCATGGTTTTTATATTTAGCCCTCAAATATCGTAAGAATGTGGTCCTAACTATCTTAGGCTGGGTTCTCTAGAGAAGAAAAGCCAGTGAAGCACATATGTGTGTGTGTGTGTATATATATATATATATAATATATATATATATATAGAGAGAGAGAGAGACATTTATCTCAAGAAAATGGCCGTCGCAGTTGTAGATGCTGGCAAGTCCCAAGTCCATGGGTCAGGCATCAGGCTGGGGGCTTCTCCTGACTCACGTAGCTGCTGCAGGGGCTGACGAACCCAATATTGGCAGCTCAGACAGCAAGCTGCTGACTCACAGGCTGTAGAGGCCGACAAATCCAAGATCATCAGGTAAGATGGTAGGTTGCTGGCTCACAAGCCGCAGAGGCTGATGAATCCCAAGATTGGCAGGCAATACGGCAGGCAGCTGGCTCAAGTCCCAAGAACCAGAGGTTGGATGATGACGAGCTAGATGCAGGGTCCAGAGCAAGCAAGTGAGCTTTGCCAAAACACACATATGTATATTGGATGCAGGCCACACCCCCGAGGAAACTCCCCTTACAACTGATTGGCTGATCACATCAGATCACATCATGGAGGATGACTACATCATTACATAACTGCTAAATTACATCATTACATAACTTCCAAACTACATTACATAACTGCCAAACCACTGAGAATCATGGCCCAGCCAAGCTGACACATAACCTTAACCATCATACTAACAATAAGAGAAGTTAGTCCTATTGTTCATTTTCACATATAACTTGGCTTCTGTCAAGCCCTTCAAGATTGTCATTCAATGACAGTCTTTTTGATCACAAGTTAAATGCTTGAGAAAGCATAGTAACTCTTTCAAGAGGCATTCAGGGTGTTATTACAAACCATTTAGGTCCTCGTTTATAACCAGTAAATACCTAGCTACATCTCCTGCTTGTAATAAAAGAAAAGAGAAAGCTAAGTCCACATTTTATTTGTCCTACCTGTCCCTGAAAGCTAGAAATTAATATTTCAAGATAAAATTAAGCAGTGGTAACATGTGATGTGATGTGAGCACATTAAGAAGTTTCATTCATAAGAAAGATGACTCTGCAAAGGAAATGTTATTGAGATGCTAAATACAATAATACAATTGCTCTGAAATGTAGAATTCTTAAAATTGCAGTGGAACACACAATTACTGAGTGTGAAAGAGTTTACTGGTGCAGCAAAGCAGCAACAGGTGTGATTTAACGGTTCTGAAAAAAAAAATCACTGTGGCAAAAAGGTCAAGTAGGGCCTCGTGAAGGATTCAGTGAGTAAATGGTTAGTTAACAACAAAAAAGAAAAATGCTAGCCAGAATCCTCCCTTCCCCTCTCTTATTAGGTTGTGAGGAGTTACCAGGTACTGATTCCAAAGTGGCAAGAGGGGAAGAGATGCTGAACCCCATTGTTGTGTATTTATCCATAGACAGGCCAATATCTTATCTGCTAAACTCATTTATTTTTCTCCTCTTTCAGTTCCTGTGATATTCATGACTCCTCCAGGTTTTCAGGAAACAGGGACATGCCCAAGTTACTTCTTGTGATGAGGGTTTTCTATAAAGGTAAAAGGGGAGGAAATAAAGCTGAGGAGACCATCTTAATGGGCACACTCTCAGGACTGATATGCTGATGATTCTCAAATTCATAACCCTAGTCCTAAAATATCTCCTGAACTTCAGACTCCCATTGCCAACTACCTACTGAATGTCTTCACTTGAATGTTATTAGGCTTCTCAAATTTAATATGTTCAAAACTAAGCTTGTTGGCTCTATTTCTATTTTTCTCCATGTCAATAAATTGTACTCAGCCATTGAGAACAAAAACTTCTGCATACCTCTTGACCCTTCTTCTTTATCAAATCCATTGTCTACTCTCGTTAGCTCTTATTTTAAAATACATCTCTCATCTGACCACTTTTCTTCTCCTACCATTATTTCTTGCCTGGTCTGCTGAAGTAGCTCCACTCTTGCCCTTCTACAATGTATTCTCCGCACAGAAACCAGAGTGATTTATCTGATTTACAAATATAATCCTATCATCCTCCTGATCAAAACCCTCAATGACTTCCCATCACATTCAGAAAAAAATTAAAAGTTCTCCTTGGCTTATAAGTTCCTGAATGACCTGGGACTTTTCTCCCCCTCCACCCTCACCTCCTTTCAGATTGCCCTTGCTCACTGGGGTCCAGCCAAATAAACTTACTTGCTATGTTTTGAACATGACAAGCACACTTCAGTTTCAGGACAGTTGCACTTTCCATTTCCTCTGCCCAGAATGCTCTTTCACCATGGCCTCATGGGCTGCTCAGCTGAAGTTACCTCTTCAGAGAAGCCTTCCTGTCCTATTTAATATAGCAACTGACCCCCTCAACCATCACTATCCATCTCCTCAAACTGTCTTATTTTTTCCATAGTACTCATCATGATGTATCTAGCACAAGGTTTCCCTGACAACAGTTTTGTTTATTTGAGTATCTCTAGCACCTAGTGGCATAGTGGTTAAGAGCTCAGCTGCTAACCAAAAGGTCTGCAGTTTGAATCCACCAGGCACTCCTTGGAAACCCTGTGAGGCAGTTCTACTCTGTCCTATAGGTGGCTATGAGTTGGAATCGACTCGACAGCAATGGGTTTTTAGCACCTACACCAGTGCCTGGTACATACAGGCGCTCAATAAGTAGTTGTTGAATAAATATACTGGGGAATCTAGTCACATTGCCTTATTCTTCTATCATACATTTTTTTTTTATTATTTTACTTTAGATGAAGGTTTACAGAACAAACTACTTTCTCATTAAACAATTAGTACACATACTGTTTTGTGACATTGGTTACCAATCCCAGGACATGTCAACACTCTCCCATTCTCGACCTTGGATTCCCCACTACCAGCTTTCCTGTCCCCTCTTGCCTTCTCGTCCTTGCCCCTGGGCTCGTGTGCCCCTTTAGGGTCGTTTTGTTTTATGGGCCTGTCTAATCTTTGGCTGAAGGGTGAACCTCAAGAGTGACTTCATTAGTGAGCAAAAGGGTGTCGGGAGACATACTCTTCGGGTTTCTCCAGTCTCCATCAGGCAAATAAGACTGGTCTTTTTTTTTTTTTTTTGTGAGTTGGAATTTTGTTCTACCTTTTTATCCAGCTCTGTCCAGGACCCTCTATTGTGATCCCTGTCAGAGCAGTCCGTGGTGGTAGCCAGGCACCACCTAGTTTTGCTGGACCCAGTCTGGTGGAGGCTGTGGTAGTTGTGGTCCATTAGTCCTCTGGACTAAACTTTCCCTTGTATCTTTGGTTTTCTTCATTCTCCCTTGCTCCAGATGGGGTAAGATGTAGAGTATCTTAGATGGCCACTCACAAGCTTCTAAGATCCCAGATGCTACTCACCAAAGTAGAAAGTAGAACATTTTCTTTATAAACTATGTAATGCCAATTGAACTAGATGTTCCTTGAGACCACAGTCCCCTCAGCCCTCAGCCCAGTAATTCGTTCCCTCGGGGAATTTGGAAGTGTCTATGGAGATTCCATGACTGACTATCATACTTTTGATAACTCTGCTTCTGTTTCTCTTATATTCTCTCTCTGCTAGATTCTTCCTCTACTTTTGTGTTCCTAATTATCCATATGCTTCTGTCTTTCTATGTTTATTTTTCCTCCGTCCTCTGTTGTCAAAGACAAAATCTGATTTGATCAATTAGTTACCCCCTGTGTGGTGCCTCAGTTAGGCTGTATCCTTAAGAAAGGCCACCTA